TTTTAAAACTCAGTAAATTTTAAAATAAGTTATTCCAAAATTCCCTTGAAGATGAAACAGAACTAATGCTTTTAATTTAATATAATTGAATTTGGAGTTGTTAGTTTCTGTTTTTGAAACATGGTACTTCCTGTATAGCGATGAACCATATTTTTAAATCAGTTAATTTTTAATATTTATGCCCTGTAAATTTACACTTTTTTGTAAAATTAAAAATATTAATAAGAACACCGGATTATATATCTTACTGTTCTTTTTTTTACTATAATATATATAAAAAATAAAAATATAAAAAGAATGTATAAACATAAAAATGTCTTTATATATATATATATATATATATATATATATATATAAATTTCGTTGAACAAGGCTGACAAGTTTGTTTAGATTTTTTATGTTTTTCTTATATACGTATAAGAGTTTTGTTTAATGTAAAAATTGTACAAAACTTTGTTGGTTCCGGCCGCTTTCAGCTAAACTCTTAACCATATTCAAGAATTATTTTTTGTTATATTGCTATAATAAATAAGATGTAAATGCTTTTATAGATAATATAATAGTTGCTGAAAAAGACATTAATAATTTCCATATACGGTCAGTTCATAATGCTTGTTTTATTTGTTTTTTCTTTCATAATAAATTTAAACGTTTTTTTTTTGTTTTTTTTTTTTTGCAGTGGGAGGGTAGGTGACATATTCTCTTCTCGACAATTGTAGATATACAAGGAAAATATAATAAACAACTAAACTGCGCTATATTGTGTCTAGTAACTTAGTTTCCTGTTGGCCACCGTGGCCCGCTGGCTCGATGATATGATGCTTGCGTGGTATCGTAACGTTCCGGGTTCGATTCTCAGATGATGCGCATTGCTGATGAGCCCCCCCACTCCCCCACTGCCCAAAAGGGAAAAACAGTTCAATTTTCCGAATCCTCTGAATTGAATAGCAGGATAGAATGGGGTAATATATATATAGGTGACAATGGGCTATGCAATATATATATATATATATATATATAGTTTATGCAAAACTAGGTAATCCGCATGGGTAGACCCGAGGAGGATGATATCCGGAGAGCTCAATGTAAAATTCAGAGCCGATATGTTTGAATAAAAACAGACCACTTTAAGGTTCCATGTAATAAGTTATTTCACCATAACCCCTTTAACAGGGCTCTGGATCATCAGATTTTACTTCCAAAGGTTGAAATGAAAAATGAAAAGAAATTCACACGTTTTTGACGGACCGCATCAAGCATATGTAAAATTAACGAAGTGAGGAAGTGAGGTGGGAGAGAAGATAAGATATGAGTGGGTTAGATGTACCATTTCAATTCCTTATTCTTTTTCTTATATATATATATATATATATATATATATATATATATATATATAACAATTACAGAACGTCTCAATATCTTTATCTTCATAGCAATGCCAAAGAGGTGAGGTGCAAATGAATGCAAGCTCCATCAGACAATCAGCTTAATGAACCACATAAGTTAACTTATGATTTCAGCGAATAGAGCTCGTTACAGACTTAGACTGGAAACATAGCAAGAATATCGTGGCTTTGTTCAAGGCACTTGAACAAGAAATAAACTTTATCATCAGAATACTAAGAGAGTGAAGACTATAAATGTAGAAAGAACTATACTTATATTTCATAGATTCACACAAAATCATTTGATAAGGTACACCGCAAAGACCTCCTTGAAATAGTAGAGAAGTTTGATTTACACGGGAAAGATATTTGAGTGGAGCCATAACCTCATACTGAGAAGAGTTTGCATGCAGATAGAGAATAGATTCAGCGAAGAGAGAAAATTTAAAGTAGAATATGAAAAGGTTCTGTTTTCTTACTGGATTATTCAATCTATGTAGAAAGATTTATTATTTGAAAACATAATCTTAAAAAACATACGGTACAGAGATAACACTGTTAATGGCAGACTCATGGAGGAAATTAAAAGCTCTTAGAAAAGGTAGTAATGGAAAATAAGATATGAATATCGATAAGAAGACAGAATCAATGGTCATCAGCAAATGAGACAACCTAAAGTATAAGCAATCAGCCCTAGACGTTTTCGAGATCAATA